CAGCAGCTCGGCCAGGTGCGCGGGCCGGCCGCCCAGCGCGGCCAGCAGCGTGGCCATGCTCTTGAGCAGCGTTGAGATCTTGCTGCACCAGGCAGGCAGGCTGACGGCGCGGCCGTGCATGCGGCGCGGATCGACGGTGAAGCGCGGCGCCGAAAGGGCGGCCGAGATCGGCAGCAGCTGCTCCAGCTCCAGCTCCAGCTGCTCCAGGCGCGCCTCCAGCTTCTGCGCCTTGTGCAACACCTGCAGGTTCTCGATTTGCTGCTCGATGCGGAGGATGTCGGCTTCGGTCATGAGCTCGCCGAAGGGCCCGAGGATGGCGTTGTGCGCGCTGGAGTACCTCCAGCCCTCGCGGGGGTAGCAGCACGAGCTGGCGGCCGTCAGCTAAGGCGGGGGAAGACAAGAGAGGGGAGGGAGGCGCGTCTCCCTCTGGCCCGGTTCCCGCAGCGGCCGCCGGGGGGCGCCATTTGCATGTCCCGGGTGGTGTAATGGCTCCGCGGGGCTGTGATGGCGGGGATGGGCCAAGCCCGGCCGGCAGGTGATTACACTGGGGCGAGGCTTCGGCCCAGGCCGCTACTCCGGGCGCTGGGCAGTGTCCTCTCTGGTCGCCGGCGGGGTTCGTTGGGCGCCGTTGCAGAGACTGGGCGGGCAGACGAAGTCTCCACACCTGGCTAGGTTGCTCATTACACCACCGAAGGAACATGCAAAAGGCGCTGAAGCTGCGACGTAAGGCTGCTCTTTCCCACCCCGTCTCGGGTCCGCATGCCCGCGAGGCCTCGCCCAGACCGATGACCCCTTCTCAGCGCCCCCTGCAGCCCAAGCCCTCCCTGTGCACGCTGCCCCAGCTGAACCAGCTGCCTGGACACAGCTTTCGCTCCTAGTCCCCGCACCAGGAGTAGGCTCGCCAGGAACTTCCGACAGTTTCGTTCATTCCTCACTTGAGTGCGGGGCTTCTCCAGCCCTGGAGCGCGGGGGGGGGGGTGTCCTCATCCTCACAGGCCTCCCAGTTCATCTTGACCCACTACAATCCGTTCCCCACAGACAAATAGGATGAGGCCACTTCCTCACGTAACCCCTCTCCTAGGCTCCTGACTGCTGCAGGAGAAAGTCCATTTTCTTCAAGTCCAGGCCTTGGTGATCTGACCCGCACTGACCTCTCCAGCTCCACCCCTCTCCTAATACAGTCTCGGAGCCTGCTTGCTCTTTGCCCCACTCTGTTCCCAGTCTGCCTCTTGCTCATCTCCCAAGTCCACCTTGGACATCACTTCCTCCTTCTCTAACGCCGCCCCCAGCCCAAATACGATGGTGGGCTTAGGGCAGTCCCAGTCCTCTGCATGCCCCATCACAGTGCCACTGTATGGTAACAGCCCACTTACGGGCCTCCCTGCTCACTCAGGCTCTCGCATTACCTTGTTTCGTATTCTTGGGGGCACTTATGGCTTTACTAAGGTGCTGTGTTTGCTTGTTGGTTGACCCCCTGCCACCCCTCCTCTCTTCGCAGCCCTGAAAGGTTCATCGTGAATCCCCAGAGGCTACAACAGTGCGTGTCACATACACAGCACCCAGGAAACGTGTTGAGCAGGCAAACCATCCTGCCAGCCAGTGATGATCAGTCATCTGACAGATAAGAAAATATCTTAGGCTAGATGAGGCTCAGTATCCGTGGCTGGAAAGTGGCAATGCAGGGGAAGGGCCCAAGCCAGGCCGACTCCAACCAAAAGCCTGTTGGCTACTCCGAGGGTGGTCCCTGGACCAGTGTGGTCATCCTCACCCAGGAGCTTCCTAGCAGCACGGAATCTCAGCCCCACCCAGAGTTCCTGAATCAGAATAGGCATTTTTACAAGATCGCAGGCGACTGGAAGCACATTAGAGTTTGATGAACTTTGCCATCTCACTAAAAGACGGGCTGCTGGGGGGCGGGGTAGGGGTGGAGACTGGGGACAGTCCCAGGGCAGGGAGGTCGTGGAAGCCTGCTTTCCCCCCAGAGGTAATGGGAGCCACCTTTCACCTGAAGTGAAAGGGACCGGAAGCCTGGGGGGTGATGTGGGGGATGGGCCGAGGGCCCAGGTGCAGACCCTTGGGCCCTCTGGGGTGCAGACCACCCCGCCCACCTTCCGCCTCTGCTCCTCCTCCTCCTGCATCTTCAGCTGCAGTTTCCGCACCATCACCTGCCGCTTCCACTCCGGGATGGGCCGGCCCTGCTCGTCGTGCGTGGGGATGAGCGCCTCCACGTCGAGCTGCACGCCTGGCGCCGGGGTGGCGGGCGGCGCCGGCGCCACGCTGCCGTTGAGCAGAGGCTGGGGCCCGGCGGCCGGCGGGGTGGGGCTGCGGGCCCGTGAAGGCGCCGGCGACGCCTGAGGCAGCGGCGAGTCCGCCTGCGGGGCGAAGCGGCGACACTGAGGGCCTGGCGGGCAGGGGTGAGGGGAACCGGGGTGGGAGTGTCTGGCGGGCCGCCTACCTGGGAGAGAGGCTGCCCGCTGCCCGAGAACACCGTGGTCAGCCCCTTGCTCTGCGGCGTCGGCTTCAGACTCTTGCCCGCCTTGATCTCAGCCAGTAGCTCGGAGTTGTCACCCGTGGGGGACATCATGTTGAAAGACTTGCTGCCTGCACGGAGGCAGGAGAGGCGGTGCTGGCCGGGGACGGGGCCTGCGTCCCCGCCGCCCCCCATCTGACCCTCTGCTGCCCCCTCCCCAAGTCAGGAGGGGCCGGGGCCCCAGATGGCAGCTCTCCAGGTCCCAGGTCCGCTGGGCGGCTCTCGTGAACCCCAGAGGGGGGTTCCCCGCTCGCAGCTTGGGGAGGGGCGGACACCATCATCCCGGTCCTACTCACGGGGCGTCCGGGCCCCGCCTGGAAGCCCCGGGGAGTACATGCTGGCTCTTGGGCCGACCCTGGGGACTCCAGCGAATGTCTCCGCCCAGGACATTGACTGACCAGCTCCAAGACACTACCTGGGGGCCAGCCACCCGACCTTTGTCCTGGGTTCCCTGGCTCGGCCCTGCCGGGGTGGAGTCTCCCTCCAGCCCGCTCTGCATCAGCAAAACTCAGTGACCCTTGGACTGAGTCGCCGGGGGCCTCCATGGCTCTACGGACTCAGAACCCTGGATGCCAGAACCCCGCCGGTCCCCTCCCCAGCCCCCATACCCACAGACAGACATGCGCGTGGACACACTGGTTGCAAGCCCCTAGCACACTTATGGCAAAGCGCTGCTCAGCTCTGGGGGACCTAGGAAAGTGGAGCCCTTACTAAGGATATGGGATGAAGGCCCCGAGGAAGAAGGGCCGGGTGAAAAACATGCAAATACCCAGTGCACGAGTTTGCATTTTCTGACAGGGCTAGCGGAGGTGACTGGGGTTTGGGAAGGGCTGTCTTTAGAGACTGAGGAGGGGTGAAGGCTGGGTGAGGGCAACAAAACAGGCCAACAGGGGACTCTTAGGTTCCCCGGCGCTGGGGATCCCTGAGCGAGAAGCAGGAGGGGTAAAAGGAAAAGGTGCCAGGCAGACACTGGCAACAGGTCCATTTATTTAGGCAAAACTGAGCCCCGGGCAGAACTCGTGGGTGTGCATGTGGGTGCAGTGGAAGGAGGAAGGTGGCTGTAGTGTGGAGGACCCCTGGCCTGCTGGCCCCTGGCCCTGCCCTTTTTAAAGTCCCGGGTCCTTGGGCCTTGATTTCCCTGAGCGTGCCTTGTTCCCCACCCCGCCCCTCAGCCAGGAGCCACGCACGCAGCTACTCACTCTTCCTGTGCCTGGGGACTCTCACTTCTAGGGACGGAGAGAAGTGACAGCGAAGTTAGGAGAGGGAGGGGGCTGGGGTGAGGCTAGGACTTTGGGGACAGCAAGAGAAGGGAGGGCAGGAAGAGGGGAGGGAGATGCGCAGAGGAGAGGGGAGAGGAGAGAAGGAATTTTCCAGCTCATCTGACCTTGGCTCAGGGTGCCCTGGGGCTCCACAAGGGTGGTCCGCCCAGTTCCTGCCCTTACTGGTCCATGAGGCTTGCCACTGGCCCTGGCCTCCCTAGCAAGGGCCTCAATCTTGGCATTGGGTTGGGATAGGGCACCCAGCCCAGGTTCTGCTGAGAAGCGGTGTCTGGAGAAGCCCGAGTCTATTTTTCTTCTGTTCCTAGCTTCAGCCTTGCTCCAGATGGAAAAAGCTAACCTCAGAGCTGCGGGCCATTCTGGAGGCTTAGGTGGTGGTGAGCATGCTACCATGGGCTCTGGTCTGCAGGGGCTGAGGCTCCACAGGTACCCTAGGGAGCCCAGGCTGGTCCTATTCTGGACCCTATTATACCCTTGCACTCCTAGTTAGGGAGATGATGCTTTCGTTGGTGTCACCACACACGGTCCCTGCACTGAGTGGCTGGGCACCCCCCTCCTCCCAGGCTTGGGTGGGCGCATCAGCACTCGGGCACCACCTCCTGGGCCTTACAGGAGCCCTGGCATGCAGGAGTCTGAGCCACGTTACAGAAGCCCAGGAGTCCTGGTCACCAGTCTATACCTTAAAAAGAAGGTGGGGTGAGGGGTCATCAGGAGGGAAGGGGCAGGGCATGATGGGTCACTGGCCTTGTCCCCAGAGCCATGTCCTAGCTGGCCTGGGGCTTCTGGCGGTATCTGGCTGGGAAGAGTCCCTGAAGCATCTGAGAAGAGCTCAGGCTGTAGCTAGGCTTGGAAGAACAAGAGAAAGAGGTGAGGAGCAGAAGAGAGACATAGGATAGACATGGGGCAGGAAAAAACTTGGCCAACAGCCCTGCCTCCTTGAAACTAGTTCTGCTTCTCAGAGCTTCCTGTGAGCACCAGCTCTTTGGAAACACCAGACACCAGAGCTGGGAGGCCTTCCCTGCTGGATGGGACGTGGGCCCCGAGAGGGAAGGGGACTTGCCTGGGCTCACACTAAAGTAACTCAGAGCCTTCCCTTAGGGCCCTCATTGGGCTGGGGGCTGCAGCAGGAAGAACGAGTAGGAAGAGTCAGCGCTAGGGCCGTCGCAGCTGGGAAGGGAGCGAGGTCTAGGTTTCCCGCCCCTTCAGGGCTAGCGCCGCCCCCCGCCCCTCAACCCGCCCCTACTCACTGCCAGTGGACGAGGAGGAGCGACGCTGCCCGCAACCAGGGCCAGCGCCCTCGAAGGGCAGGGGCGGAGCAGGCGGCGGCGAGCTAAGGGCCTCCGGCAGGGGCGGCGGCGGCGGCGGGGGCAGCTCCCTGGACGCCTTGGGGTCCGCGGCGCAGCCGTTATGCACGTGGTTCCCGGGGAGCAGCGCCGCCTGCGGGGGAGCGGAGGGGCTGGCGAGTGAGGCGCGGGAGGCCAGGCCGGGTCCCGGGCGGCCGGCGGGTGCGGGCTGGCAGGCACGCACCTCCTCGCTGTGCGCCATGCCCGGGCCTGCGGCCAGCGGCTCCCCGGGACAGCGGCCCAGCTGCCGGTAGTAGTCCCCCGTGCTGGGCTGCTTGCTGAAGGCGCGGGGCTTGCGGCCGGAGTCCTGCCTCCTCAGCCCGTTGCGGCCGTCGCGGGAGCTCAGCTGCGGAAGACAGCGGTGGCGGGGCTTCGGGCACTGGTCCCTCGCTGCCTCACACGCCCCGCCCCCTCCCCCAGCCCTTCACATTCCCGGGGCTCCTGGCCAGCGGCCGTCGAAAGGGTGCAGCCAACCGGGTTCCCAGACCCTCCTGTTCTCAGAGCGGAGATGGGGCGAGGGTCCTGGGGAAGGGCAGGCTCGGTCGGCCCTACAGGGAGGGGTTCAGGGCGCGGGCCAAGGGCCACAAGGGCCCCCACTGAAGCTAGAAGGGGCGGGACCAGGGGCGGGTTGATCCAGCCCAGTCGCCAGGGGGAGCCGGAGAAGGGGCAGCTCGCGGTTCAGCCAGCGCTAAGGCCTCAGCCTCACCCCACTCCTGGCCACCCGACCGTCCGGCGCGTCCCCACGTCTCTGCCGAACCCTCTCTTTCGGGGACTCCGGCGAGGGAGCCCCCCTCAGAGCCCTTGTCCTGTTAAGCTCCTGCTTGCCCAGGGCTCTCAGCCGCCCGGCCGCGGGGCTGCTCCTACCTGCGACTGCGCCGGTGGCCCCCGCTGTGCACCTGGCGGCGGGGGCGGCACGGACCCGACACCTGCGCCACCTGATCTTTCCTCTCAGCTTACAGCCCAGCCCTTGCCCGCCCGCGCCGAAGAGCGCCTATGAGCTCTGTCGGCCTGACATCACCCAGGGCCCGCCAATCCCAGGCTGACCCACTCCCAGCAATAGGGGACGCCACGGGGGCTCCAACGGCGTCGCCACAACCAGCCGCTGCGCCCTACCTGCCCCGCGAGCCAGATGTGGCCCCGCCCCCTGCGCCTCTCTCCCTCCACTAGGCGCTGGGCACCCCGGCCTCCATCTTCCTCCCCCAGCTGGCCCTTTCCAAACCCCGTGGACAGAATGCGGCCCTGACCGCGAGCAGCGGAGCCCCCCATATTTGGTACCCCTGGGTTCCGGGTCACGCCCCCGCCCTTCCCCTCCCGCATCTGGAAACCATCGACATCCGCGTAAGCGACACCGACACCCGCGCCTAAGCCTCAGGTTTCAGGGGCGGCAAGGCAGGCTCGGATGACAGCGCGGTGGCCCGCCCCGTCGCAGCTGCCCCCCGCTAAGCCCAGCCCAGGGAAAAGGACATGGGGCGGCAGGGCCAAAGGCCGAGGGACCGTGCGGGGGCTGTCCCCTGTTCCACCCGCCCCACCCCCGCGCCCCTGCGTCCCCGCGGTGGCCCCGGACCTCCACGCCCCACCCGAACCGGCTCTCGTTGCAGGAAACCCGACACCACAGGATTTGTTTTCTGGGCCAGTCGGGCCCCTCGGCGCGCCCTGCAGCCCCGAGGCGCGGATGCCGCGACCCTGCTCCCGATGCGGTCAGACAGGGGCCAGGCCCAGGGGGCGGAGGCGGGGGGCGCGAGGCGCAGCGCGCACACAAAGGGCCCTTTGTGGAGCTGCCGGTCGCCTGCGGCCCTGCACGCACACACCGGGTAGGGGCACGGGACCTCGAAATCCTGGTGCGCAGGGGAGTGGAGGGGTCACAGGCTGGGCCACCTGTCCTGTGGCTTTGGGCAGGGTTCACACAGCCGCCCTCCAGGGAAAGTCCGCTTGCCCTCGGCCCCCTGCAGTCCTCCCCTGGGTCCTCTCCACCTCATAGAGTTGAAAGGGGACCCAACTGAGAGCTTGGTCCAGGATGGCAGTGAGGGCAGGGTGGAGTCGCTGTGGAGGTTGTCCTGCCCCCTCCCCCACCCAGTGGCCTTGTGACCTGGGTCACCTGTGGGCAAATTGGTTACTCAGCTTGCCTCTGGAGTCGCTTGCCTTGGGCTTGAGAGAGAGCTACAGGTCAGGGTTCCCACGGGCCCCTCAGGGGCCTCTACCCCATACTCCGCCACCTGTGGTCTCAGGTTGTCCCCCACCTCCCAGACCAGCCAGGACCCCAGGATCCCCTATGGGGCTCCCTGCCTGGGACTCTCAGCTCCCCAGACCAGTCCTCTGGCTCCGGAGCCTCAGCCAGGACGCCAGAGGCCCTGACATCCCGGGCACCTCACATTCAGTGTGCCCGCGCTGGACACTACCTCATGGCCCCCATCTCAGGACTGGCCCTTCCACCAACCTGGGCACTCCACGCCCCAAACTGGGGAGCCAACTTCAGTTTCACCCCTCCCTCAGCCCCCTCTGAGTGCGGAGTCCTGCTAGTGCTCTCTCTCCCTGCCTCCACCCTCCCCGTGGCCCTTCACAGCCATGCCACCTGCATCTCCCCCCCGGGAGCACAGACACCCCCGTGGGAGCCATTCTCTACCTGAGCCTGGGGCTATGGGCATGTGTAGGGCTGTGGAGAGGCAGTCTGCACATATTCTCTGCCAATGACCACCGCGACCACCCTGCCACTCTGTGCAAGAGGTGAGGGAGGACCCAGGTCCCTGAGAGGTACGGCTGTCTGATTACACGTTCCTTCACCCATCCCCCGCTCCCGAGAGGGTAGTGGCTTTGTCTTACTCATCTGCCTGTCTCCAGTGCCCAGCCCTAGGTCCCCAGGGGGCTGGCCAAGAGCTTTGACTCTCAAATAGGCCACACTGGCCCAGGGCCCCCCACCCTGTGCCCACGAGCCAGTCTCCTGGCCTCAGGCGCTGCCTATCCGCCCAGTCGCAGTGCTGGGAGGCAGGCAGGTGGGTGAAGCTTCACTACCTCCATCTTGAAGGCCTCCGTCTCCACGTGGCGGAGTTTGCTCTTGGTCTGCATATAGATGTCAGCTGCATGTGGCCCCACGGGGGGCTGGGGAGCTGGGTAGCCTGGTGGGGGTGGGGGCAGTTGGGTGCCCGGGGGTGGGGGCGGCGGAGGGAAGCTGGGCGGTGGTGGCAGTGGTGTGGTTCTCTCCATCTTGCCCCGGGGCCGGCCCAGCTCCGAACTCAGCATGTTCATGTAGTTTTGTATATCTGCAGCTCTTGAGCTGGGAAGCCCTGGGGAGGGAGGGAAGCCTGGGTTTGGGAGTTTGCAGAGAGGCTGTCCCCCAGGACTGAGGCCCTCTTCCACCCAGAAGCAACTCACCAAGGGGTGAGGTGGGCTTAGGGATGCAGCTCGGGATGGCTCCACTGTGGGCCCCAACAGTGCAGGGCCCCAGCTCGCCCTGCCCTGCCTTAGCCCTGCATGTGTTGGGGAAAAACCATGCACTCAAGTCTGGAGGGAGGCCCCAGGGGGCTTTCAATGCCAGGGCATGCCGGTGGGTGGGGCACAGCCACCTGGAGGGCGAAGGGGCAGCTCCTCGGGTCAGACGCGGCAGGGTGGGGTGGCAGGAGTATGGACGGCCGCGCCCCAAATGGCAGGGCACCCCACCATCTCTGTAGGCCACCCATGCTCAGGGTGTGCTCAGTGTGTCAGTTTGTGCATTGTGTAGGTTTGTGAGTACACACAGGTGTTTCTTTGTATTTGCAAACGGTCTGTGGACATGGGGCGTGTGTGTATGTGTGCGCCCAGTGTACACACGTCTGGGGTATGGAAGGGGGGCTGTGTGTGCCGCGGCGCAGAGGTGTGCGCGCATCTGCGCTGGGCTGTGTGTCCCCATACGCACGTACGTGTGCGCACGCTTGAGTGTGACTAGGTGTGTGTACAGTCTGGGGAACACCGTGTGTGAGTGAGGACAATGAATCACGTGCGCGGGGCATGGGGGTTCCGTCGGAGGGAGAGTCCCTGTGGATGTACAGGTGTGTCTGTGACGAGCACGAGTGTCGCCTGCCCGTCGCCACAAGCAGCAGCCCCTCCTGGTGACCCGGGCAGCCTCCAGCATCAGCTGTGGGCAGAGAGGGCCCGAGGCTGGCCGCCAGGGCCCAGTGGCCGGTCCCATGCCCCCTCCGCGCCCTTCCCAGCCCGGCCCACTCACGGCGTGGGGGGCGCTGGTCCTTGACGCTGGACTGGCTGGAGGAGCAGGAATCATAGTTGGAGAGGGTGCTGGTGGGCGAGCTGAGGTCAAAGTTCAGCGGCTGCACCGACGTGGTGGTATTGGGTGAAGACATGCCAGAGTCAGGCTGCTTGGCCTCCAGCTCAGCGGACGGGTCCCGGGACAGGACACGGTGCTCCACACTCTGCAAGGGAGGGGAGGCAATGAGGACAGCCCGACCTGAAGACCAGCGTGCTCCGGGCCAGGGTCCTGCTCAGGCGCATCCTTGCTGTGTGACTTAGGCCGAGCCGCTTCCCTTTCTGGGCTCCCTCCCCATTCTGAGAATGTCTCTCAGGTTCTTCCCAGGGGAAGAAGCCAGGCCCCCTGGCAGCAGGACCACAGGTTCCTGGGAAACTCCCACCCAGCCACTCCTTGCTCAGGGGGACTGAGAGACTGTCAGAAGAGGGGGCCCTGGTCTGGATCCCAAGGGGAAGACTTCTCCTTCCTCATTAGAGGGACTGGGCTCCAGTGTATCTGTGGGGCGGGGCTCAGGTGCCACAGCTGCTGGGGGCAGGGGAGGCATGGGGGATGCCCACAACTTGCAGGAAGGACTAATTCCCCATTACTGGCCAGCAGCCTTTGTCTCTCCTTGTTCTACTGGGGCAAATCCCAACACCAGCCCAGCCCCTATCTCCTGATGGGGCCCTTGGAGAAAGGGTGGGGCCTGGGGTGGCCCAGCTGAGTCTGGTGGGCAGCCCAAGCTCAGGCTGGAAGCCTGCTGTCCCCACCACTGTCTGTGCCCCTGCCCACAGCCCTGACCCTCCTGGCATGGGAGCTGGCTGGGGTGGGGTCCTGCTTACGTTGCCCATGCTGGCCTTGCTGTTGGCAAGCCCGCTCGCTGGCTCTGTAGGCTGCCTCCTGCCCAAGCCTGCTCCTCCACCCGGGGCCCGCTCCCTGCCTGAGAAGTGTCACAGGCCCCCCGGGAGTGGGAGGCAAGCCTAGCACCAGGTAACAGCTCAGCAGCCATGCTCATTGGCCCTGTAATTAGGGGCTCTGTGGGAGTGTTTGCCTTTTCTGGGCCAGCATCCTGCGTGGTTTGGATCTGTCACTGCTGCAGCTGGGCCTCTCTGGGTGAGGGGACCAAGGGCTCCCATACCCCACCCAGTTCAGGGGGGCCAGGCCCTGCTGCCTCTTCCATGAGCCAAGGGAAAGCCTAGGGGCTGGGCTGGGTGGGTGGGCAGCTAAAAATGCTCTTTTCATGGCTGACAGCAGTGGGCACTGAGGGTGCCCAGCTCTGACCCCACGGATCACAGAGGTTAGGGGTACTGGCTCTGCAGCCTGGAATGCTGGCTTCAAATTTCACTTCTCCCACTTACTAGCTAAGTGACCTTGGGCAAGTCAAGTCACTTATCCTTTCTGTACCTAAAGAGAGAGAGCATGTGGGGGTGTGGGGGGAGAGGGGCAGAGGGAGAGGGAGAATCTTAAGCAGGCTCCACACCCAGTGCAGAGCCTGACGAGGGGCTCAATCTCAAGACCCTGAGATCATGACCTGAGCTGAAATCAAGAGTCAGACTCTTAACCGACTGAGCCACCCAGGCACCCCTGAGTTTATCTGTAAATGGGGATAACAGTACTTCCTGCCTCGTGAGTGTACAAAAAAGATTTTAAAAGTTAGTGGAGTGCCAGGGTATGGTAGCCAGTAAATGCCATACATGTCAACTATTAGTGTTAGTTTCCGGTGGAGACTGAGATTATACTATAAAGCACTGGGCAGGGTACCTGCCGGAGTCAGAATTCATGCAATCATGTTTGTTGCAACTGTAGCTGCTGTTAAGAGTGGCTGGAGGTGCCACCCCCACCCCACCCTCAAAGCAGAATCATACACTCTCTCAGTGGGAAAGAACCACCTCTGGTTCAGAAATGCCCTTCACAGCATCCACTTCTGTTGGTATACCCTGCTGACAGGGTACTCACTATCTGTTGGACCATTACTCTCTCTGGGCGGCCTTTTGGGGGGAAAATTCTTCCTCGGGTCCAGCTGCAGTCTCTGACCCCCCTTGCTGTGCTCTGGAGCACCCAGATCCAGGGTGCCCCCCTCCATGCTTGCGCACAGGGCAGACAGTGCTATGGGCAGGAGGCCATCCCACACTCTCCCCTCCAGGCCTCACTTCCCAGCCCCTCTTCCGGCCAGGCTGCCCCCTGGAGCTGGTCCTCCTGAAGGCACCTGTGAAACCCACCCTCTGTCCTCCCTCCTGCCCCAAAGCACATCAGATAAGGCGGGGCCCTGGACCTGGAGCCAACCACACCTGAGCTCAAGTCCCAGGAGGTGACTTCACCTCTGTGCAACCATAATAAAATTATTTAAAAAGGTAACACAAGTTTCCAGTTATGAAGTAGCCATGAAGGGAGCAAACATACAATGTAGCTGTGTGACCTTGGATGAAACGGGGACATTAACACCACCTACTTCGGCGGCGGTGGAGAGTTAAATGAGCTACCAGTGTGGGCTGTGGGCAGGTGACTGAACTTGACTATCCCCATCGGTATCTGAGTGTCTTGTGATTTCTCCACGCCTTCCTGCTTACCAGGATGCTGCTACCCTCCTCTCCTTGACCCTTTTCCTTCACTCCCTCACTCCTCAGTGGTCAGTGGTTCTGGGCTGAGAGAGGGTAATGGTCTAGGGCACTTCCTCATTGTGTGACCTCGGACAGGGGCTTCATGTCTCCGAAACTCAGCTTCCTCCGTGGTAAGGGGGTAAGAACACCTACCCCTGGGGGGAGGTGGGGATGGGGTGGGGGACGAGATAACCAGGGGCTCAGGGTCCTACCAGGTTCTCCACGGTGCGCAGGTAGCGGGTGCAGTGGCTGTGGCCGTTGTAGTCCGAGAGGTCGGCGGCCGTGTACCCGTCGCGGTCGCGGACGTCCAACTCCGCGCCGTTCACAACCAGGATCTGGCAGCACTGCGAGGGGCCACGTACTGAGGACCCCGGCCGCTCGCCCGGACCCCCTTGCCGGGGCAGGGCTGTGCTGAGAGCTCGGCGCCGGCAGAGGGCG